ACAAGACTGAAACTCCTTCCTGTTTACCTGTGGGCTCATGGTGAGAATACTTACAGTTGGTTTCAATTTTTTTATATGTGGAAGTGAGAGGAGTTAAAGCAAGAACTTGTGTCTTTGTCCCGCAACCGTGTTCAAAGTAAAATGCCCTGATGTTTCTGCAGATGAAGCTATAGCATCAATAGCCATAGCTTGAGGAGTCATGCAAATGTTTTGGCTTCCATTCCAAGACAGCAACTAAGCACCTGCTCAGATCAAGGATCTAGAGTATCCTCATTATTTTTATGGTAGATTATAAAAGGATAAACTTCAAGTGCAGACCAGCCTCATCAGTGGGAGTATGCCTCTTGAGTCTTTGTTACTGGAAATAATCCTTGGGAAAACAAAGGTAAAACTTAACTTGCAGAGAATAAGGATTTTTTTTTGTAGTTTTTATGAAATCTTGATTGCATAAAAAAGTCATGTGAGCATATCTATCTATATAGCAGAAGGAACTCTTATTTGGATGTAAAAACTCCCAGATAAAGAATCTTGCAGTGGTCTTTTTCTTTCCACTGCCTATATTCAAGAGTGCCTTGAATCACTGCCTATATTCAAGAGTGCCTTGAATATAGGTGTAGACCTATATTCTATAAACTCTGTAGACCCTATAGACCTATAAACTCTGGTGTAGACATCTACAGTGCAAATGGCCAGAGCTAGGTAAGACAACCCCATTTGTCTCAGAAAACCCCAACACGGGGTCTCTCCAGAGGCTCAGAAGCCCAGGTGCCACCTTGGATTCTGTACGTGGGCAGCTGGCCTTTAATAGCCTTCAGGCTAGTGGGTGTTTATAAGCTCTCAGAAATGCCTTTTAGTAAAACAGATACATTTAGGAAGGGAAAACAGGTTTTTAGGTGCAGAGGGGTTTTTTTTGTGCAGAGGACTAACTCCTGATGCTCCAGGATGCCTGACTTTCAGCTGGAGGCCCTCTGTGTATAAAGGTATCATACACTATATGTATATCAAATGCTTTTCCAGGCTGCAATGGATGCCACTCCTTCAAATAACCTAGTTTTTTACCTTGCTCTCTTGGGCACCACAACACTGAATTGAATATGAGAATATTGCTCTACTGCTCTAAACCTCTTCTACAAATGAGAGTTGGGAGGTCAGACCATTACTCTAGATCATTTCTGCACTTCATTACATAAGTGTCACTCAGCAATAAAATGTACTTGGTCCCAGTTATGCAGTAAACACTGCCGTTTTTCTCTTCCATGGAAGTGATCAGATTCTTCTCCTCTGGCCAGCTGCTTATTCTCAGTGCAAATTCTCAGTGAAACAGAAATCGTGTAGGGCAGAGCATTCGTTACCAAACTGCGGTGGAACCGTACTTGAAAGGCTTCGAAGTGAGGAAGGAGTTAATCGTTGCAAAATAGTCATTTCCTGAGTCTTCTGGTTGGATGAGTAAAAACTTTCAACTATTTCTATTTCTTCTGTGGCATTTCAAAGTGCACTGTACCTCTCAGACCAGGTAAGGAGTACAGCTTTTCACTTCTTGATTATTTATTCGTAATAGTTTTTCAGAGGAGCCAGACTCAGTCAAGACTGATTTTTTTTTCCCTCCTATTATTTACATCTGAAGCGAGAACAAAGTTCACTGCAATCCAAGCAGTACATTTGTCTCTTTGTGACAGATGACTGTGAGCTGTAGAAATAAAGGAAGAATGGTATGGCTTAATAATAAAGATAATTAAGAAATTATGTTGCACATATTTAGAAGCCAGAATTATTATAGCAAATACTGCAGTAAAAGAGAAACAAAACTTACCGCCAGTTTTAAGGAGTTCATTCTGCAAGAACCACTAACAAAATAAGGAGTTCTCAGGTGCACAGTTTGCTTTAGTGAGAGAGTAACAAAAATCATAGTGTGTCTTCAACTCTGTTTTTAAAAAGAGGAAGAATGAACTTCTAGATGTTGGGGGGCAGAAAAAGAAATCAAACCCAGATAATTTTGGACCAGTTTTAGTTGTAAATCAGAACCTGATATCTATCATTAGCTATTGCAGAGTCATGTACTTATTCTGAGACAACTCTGGAGGTTTGCAACAGCCCAACATACACACAGGAGTGACCGTGGAACAATATCAAATAATGATACAATTTCATCAGGGTCTTTTGATGCATAAAAGCTGAACTCAGACAGACAGGCACCAGAAAGAATTCCCACAACACAGTGCACTTTTGCATATGGCATTTGCTGCCTCTTAATAGATAAGGAGAGAGATTATTTGTGTGAAAACCTTTTTGTTTTGTTTAATAGTTCAGAAACAAGCAGTAAATAGACATCTGTGAGGCAGTTATTGTAATAATCTCCTGTCATCATGTCACCATACAGAAAGGGAAATTGTCCATGCCATGCTAATCCCTGAGTGAAATCATACACTGGTATGGCATTTGTGGGATTTTTAAGACTCGGGGTTTTTTTGACATTTGTGGGTTTTTAAGTCTTTGCTTGTAATCAATTTTAATATTTGGACATTGACTCCTTGAATGTTTGGTTTAAACACTTTCTGGATTTCATATATAGTAGTCAGGAGAATCTAGTTAGGACTTTTAACAGCATTGGTTTGATTCAGACACAAAATTTCCATCCACGTTGGGACTTCATTCCTAAATAATTTCCATTTTACTTGTGAAATCACTGTTAGAGTAGCAATGGGACCTCTGTAATGTGTTTCACGCTCAATAGACTCAGTGATCCACTTGAAGTTTTGTCACTGCATCTACAGATGGGGAATTCATATGAATCCCAGCTGCCAGACCTGTGCCCCAGTTTTTGCAGTGCCCCAGTGCAGGCAATCTGATCAAGAACCCCAGTCTTCCCTTGCAAACAGCTGTTTAGAAAGAGCCAGAGACTATGTCGCCATTCTGCTAGGGAGGAGGTTGTGGCATGGGTAGAAACATTTGCATCAGACTTAATCTTCTCAGATTGAATATCAATGCCAAGCAGTTTGCTGTTCCTTACAGGTCTGTATGGCCTTAGCTGGTAAATACTTGCAGCCTATGCCGGAGTTTGCTGGAGAAAAGCTGACTGAGGTGTGCCTATCGTCCTGCAGTCGCATTTTCCAGTTGCTGAATAGGCATGGCTAAAGGGAAAGTGCTCAGCATCTTTGTGTGGGAAGAACAAACTGAACCCAGGCATCCCCTGTCACCAGCCACCGTCTTACCCACTGCTTATGTACTCCTCTTCTGTCTTGCACTATCGGTTTGGGTCCAACTCAGACGATTCTGCCTGTGCAGACAATTAGGCTTTCACTGATGACTGTTAGTGCAGAAGAGGCCAGCTCAGGTGATTTAAAATGTTTGCTCTCGGTGCTCTCTTTCAGCATCAGTATCTTTGATGTGGGAAAAGGGTGCGCTCCTCTGTCGGAGGGTGGCATACGTTGTGTCGCGGTTATGTGTAACAGCACTGAAAACAAACAAATACTAGAAAGGTCACTCCTTGTATGGTAACTTTGGTCTGCCACAGTAACTGCTGAGTTCTGGCCAACTGGCCAGGGGGAAGAAACCCAGACACAACTCAGCCACAACAAGTTATTGTGTGGTTTATTCCCCTGTCCTGTGCAAAAATGAAGGCACACCAATACCGTGTCACTGCATATCTAAAATATGTGCTGCTGTTTCGCATGTGTATTGCCACTTAAAAACTTTACTTCACATTTGCATAGTTTCCAGATAAAAATTTGTTTTGAAACAGAAATTCAGGGGCTTTGCTGCTGACAACTAATGTCTGCAAAGCATACAGTTGCACAGAAGGGAGGCTTTCTTACCAGGGAAATTTATTGACACTGGTTCCATGTTCTTCACAGCATGCAAAAGTAGCTTGGAAATGTAGCTCTCCTCTGAAAAATGACATTACAGAAATGACATTACAGTTTGGACCTCGACTACTGCCTCCAGAATTCCTGGATGAAATTAGCTCTATTTATAATTAAATGTCCGTGTGATTGTGGTTTTGGCTTGATTATTCTTACTGCCAGCTTTCAAATGGGAAAATCAAGCTGGTGTTCCTCTTGGGCTTACTATTTATACACAGGAAGCCTGAGAAGGACTCAGCCTGAGAGTTCAGGTTGTTATTTAAAATATCTTTAAAATGGGTAATATAATCCAATTTTTGTCTAAATTTTGGTGCTAATCAATCACAAATATCCCACAGGACTGATTTTCTACGTCTTTGAACCTGATAATGTCAATTTGATCTAGTGTCTTTTCATATATTTTTGATTGGAAGCCTTCTGTCCTTACAGAAATTTTCCATTAGTAATCTTATTTTTCACTGTTGATGAATATTTAGCTAAAGCCAAATACTCAGAGAAAGAGAGAGAAATCTGCGTATGCTTCATGCACCAGCTCAATAATTGGGTTTTAGCTGTCATTGATACCCTAACAGAGAGATTTTGCCTTTTTGCACACAGACTGATGAGGCTCCAAGGGTTGTTCAGGCTGGGGCCAGGGCTCTGTAAGCTTGGTCATTAAGAGCTGCACAATTTTTGTCACATGTTTACACTACTGCATGAAGAATTTGGGCTCAGCAGCTGGTGAATTGAAAATCCTTGTTCTCCCAGCTGCTGACTAAATCTCGAAATAAGAACAGAAATTACACCTTGCTATGGTCATGATGAAGCAGCTAGGGCTACTTACAGTGAGATACTCTGCACCTGATTCACACTTGCTGAAGGTGAAATGAGAAGGGAAAATAGCAAACCAACAAGATGTGCTCTCTTATCTTCTCTTCATCTTCAGACGTCTATACTCTAAAGCTGTAGTAGTCCCGCACAGGTATGTATTAAAGATAGTGAACCACATATTTAAGGCTGTGAAATAAAATAGAAAATGTTATCAGTACTTGTCACCGTGTCACTGTTTGTAATTATCTTTAGATATGTTCTTTTTTTCTTTTTTTCCCCTTTTTCTTTTTTTAAATTCATAAAAGATTTCTTGTTTGTTCCTTTCTGCAGATCTTAGTCGTAGAGGAAATCTGATCTGCTGCAGCACGGAAACATCAGCCGTGGGATGGCGAGACAAATTCCTTAGGGAGCTGCCTGTAAGTCTGGTCAACATTTAAGATGAAAAGTTTTGCATTTTCTTTGGCAGGATGTTGCATGCAGAGTTTAGCTGTATGAGGCAATTGCTGAGGCAATAAGGGAATATTTAGGAGCACAAGCTTTGAGCAGGTGAGTATGCACAAAGACAGAAATAATCTTGCTAAGACTTTTCCTTTCTTCCCTGCACCCACCATTTCTAAAAAACATGATTGGTCCTTGAGACTCTCTAAATCATGCCCAGTAGAAATCCCGTTCTCCCAGAATCCTGGATACACTGAATGGACCCCACTTTAGTGCTACAGTGGTTCAGCAGTTAAAAGCTGTGGGAATAACCCTCTTTTGTAGTTTTGTCACTTCACCTTGGGAGAGTTAAGCCCTGCAGGGATCAAAGGGAAATCACACTGGAACACAGGCAGTGGTGAGAGATAGGGTAGGGAACTGTGGATAAGTAAGCACTTATGGTGAGGATGAGACAAAGAAAAAAAGAAAAATTGATAGTACAAATCAGGGTAGATGAGGACAGAGGGTGGGATCTGGACAGCAGTAAACAGGAAGAGGACAGAATTTGGGTTACTTTCATAGGCTGCTGCTTGTGAAAAGGGATTTGTAGAGGACAGCAAAGTGTGATTCTTTTAGCTCTTTCCCCCAGATCCTCTGGACAAACCCCTGAAATATCCAGGTCTCAGAAACATAGAAGTAAATCTTGGAGGTAGCATGGGTGTGTCTGCACCCTCGAGTGGACTACACAGAAAATGTTTTTACTCAGTAGTAACTTTCCACTTCATTTGCTGGGACCAGTCATATCCTGATCTTTAGCATATTTGACACACTTCTAATAACTGTTTTCAGCTTCTGTAAAATCATGGCTGCATAGAAACTCCTTTTCTGGGGTGGTCTTTTGTCTGTCATATCTCCTGAACTATATCAAGAAGTTGATTGTGGGTCAGAGTTTTTTGAGGGAGCGTATTTTGAGACAAAACCATGCCAGAACTGTAACAGCCTAAGAAATTGAATTTCATGGTCTGAGCACTGTTCTGACAGTGTTAAATTTACTAATATTGACATACTTTACACGTAGTAAAATCTCACTTGTGCAGGTGGTATATATTCCTCAGAGTCCTAAGGGTAAATATTACAGAATAATACTGCAGCACAAAAAAATCAGTGAACAACCTGTTTAGTGGGAGACCATTTCCTGTCTCATTGTTCATCTCTCGTCTACTTGCTGCTGGAGGACACTTGCTGACTGAGATGTAGAACTACAGGAAAAAGCAAAGCAGCCTTGTGATTTTAGTGACTGAGTAATGTTCTGGAAAGAATGATTCTGCCACTGATTCTACCTGAAAGTAGATGCTGAGAAAAGCTTTTGTGATGCTGAGAAAAAGTCACCTTCTTAAAAAAAGGATACACGTGAAATGCCTGAAATAGAGCTGGGATGGAATTTCAGAGCTTCACCTCCAAACAGGGAAAATTCTGATGCAGCCTCTGACTACTGGGGAATTATACCATAGCTGTTGCTTCTTATAACATGAGATAGCAGTACTTTAGATACTTAGAGACAAATATAGAGAAGACATCCATTAGCAATTATAGAAGAAACAGATTTTGACAGGACTGAGAGAGCTGGTCTGGTGCCACCAAGGAGAATGCTTAAAGAACATCAGTGTAACTGTGTCTTCTTTACAAGTACTTGCTTTTCAAAAGATCAAGGAGTATGAAATAGTGTAACTCCTTCTCTAGAGCACGCTCCTAGGAGAGAGAGTATGCACATTCAACTCTGTCTTTGGAAAGTATATAAAGGTTTATCCACCTCCTCCCTTGATAGCTAGGTAGTGTGCTAGAACTATGGTCTGGGTTGAATTGCACCTAGCCAGTAGAAGCTGGAACAGCAAGGAAAAGAGGACAAAAGAAGTCAGAAGCCTGAAATACCATTCAGCTGGAAGGCTAAAGACCTTATCTCTAGCCTTGTCTTCAAAGACACTGCTTCACAGTAATCGCTGGGGGACTCCAAAGGCCAAACTAAAGAGTAGATTCCAGGCCATGTGCACTTACTTGATGGCTGCCTTTGCCACTAGACTAGAGAAACCCTTGCCCTCCTTCATGGTGTTTTCATCTTTCCCTGGGTTGTTTTATTGATAATTTTGTGGACGTGTCTGATGTGAAAGACGGGCAGTAACCAGAAGCTTTCTGGCTAATGCAATCTCCAGCTCAGATAGTAAGTCCCATGGTCAGACTTGGAGGGCAGTTTAAGGCATCTGTTTCCTGAAATTAACCACTGCTTATCATTCAGACAGGGAAAAGAAGTGTTTTTCTTCTATTAACCATCTTTAAAAATTGTGGTAAATTATATTTGGGCCCCAGAAAGAAAAGGCAACAGGGAATTTTAACAGAAGGAACTTTGGCAAAGAGGTTCAAGGATCAGGTCTCCCTGTACTTTCCCTGTGAGAGTATGTTCTGTATGTTCACTATTTTTTCCCCCATTTTTTCATGTTTTTAAGGTTCATCCTTCATCTACGCTAGGTGACCTGTGTGTGTGGCATGTGAAGAGTGCTGACTTCAAACTGTTCTTTATCATTTTTCTGACTATTGTAGATCCCATTCTGAGATACCTAAGCCTTCACTGGAGCCTTCATCCTTTCACCCATGGAATACTTATCTTACAGAGTTTGAAACTTTGTTTCAAATCTGGTTTCAAGGGGTTAAGGTTTCAGAAACACACAACAACTCTGAATTCATCATTTTCAAATGCTTATTAAAAGATATCTGGATCTGACTTTCAGAGTATTGAATACTCACAAATCCAGGTACAGTCAATATAAATGTGTCTTTGAAACAGTAACATTTTATTTAATGCCAAATGCTCTTAGAAACCAGGTCCTGGGCAACTCCGGGCCTTCATTCCTCACTTTCCTCTTTGCAATATGGGATTAAATAATATTTATATTAGAGAAAGGCTGCAAATAAGAAATTTGTAGGTGTTTCTAAGCACTCTGATTCTACAATACTGATGCCATAAAAATGCTGAAAAATAAGTTGTTTATTTAGCATTTGGGACAAGAGTTTGAACAGTGCATTGTACATAGAGTATAGCATAATTAATTGAACAATCAGGAGGAAAAAGTCTAAATTTTTCTGATAAAGTATGTCTTTGGAAAATTGCTGGAAAGACATTGGTTTCAACAGAAATGAAGTGGAGAAGGGCAAGCTTAAACATGTCCATTTTCCAGCCTGTAGAATGACCTGTAGAGTTTCTTGGCCATTGGGCTGATTTCCTGTCTTCAGCTTGTTGACTTCCATCATTTCAATAGTAGGATCATGCAGCTAAAAAGCAACCAGGCTGATGAAATTCTGGCTATCAAGATCTTCAGCCATTTATTTATTCAGGCTGCTAGAACAGTAACCCTCCTGAGATAAATGGGCATTATGAGTATTTCAACATGGAAGGAAAAGACAAGACATTTTCATAAGGGGCACCTTCCATTCCCCTCAATCACACGTCTCTGTAAAGATGCTGATCTCAGCTACACAGTGTTTAAATCCTCAGTGTTTAAATCAGTGCACTGATCAGAGCTGTTGGGGTCTTTAGAAATACATAGTTAGTCAAAATGTTTGCAACCTATCCATGATTGCAGCTAACAGAAGTTGGCTGCTAGCACATGAATGTGAGTTAAACAGAAGCAAGATCAAGATCTCAAGCTAAACACTGCCTTACTCATTGCATACATCTCCTTATCAGCCCAATTTCTTCTTGGTCACTGACTTTTCCCTTGGGGCATAAACATACCTTTAACACCTCTAAGAGGAGGAAGAATGAAATTTCCTGTTATGTGTCTGGCTTTTGCAACCTCAGAAATTCTCAGCAGTGCAGATACCTAATCTTAAGATCTGGTCTCGGTGGATAAAATACACTCACAAACTTATTACTGAGGTCTTTTATGGTGAAGTGCATGTTAAATGTTTGACATTTAACGCTATATATACTTGTGAAAATTTTTTGAGCTTTTTAAATAAAATGTTTTCCACCAACAGCTCTTCTCTGAGAAACTAACAGGACATGGTCCAGTTTTACATGTTATAGTAGGCGGATAGGTTTGTTTAACTCACATGTCTGTTTCTGCTAATGTTTATGGGTTGAGTACATAATTACCCCCACACGAGAGGGGCAGAGATCATAGCCAATATTGATATCAATAACAAATATGATTGGTCTACCATGGGTTTGGAAATGTTTACACCAAGTGCGGTGGATTCTCAACATCTCCCAGTTTTCACTGCAGTTCTGCAAAAACCAACTGAAAACTCTCACAGCAGTGCCTGGGAATCACTTTGTTAAATGTGAAACACTGGCATATAGAAAGTCTATTGCTATGCCAGTTAGCAGCAGGAGAGCAGAGAGAGAAAGAAATCAATTGGATTACAGAAAAATCAGTTTCTTTGGTTGTGCTTATTTTTCTGCTCTAACTTGTCCTTGGAATTACTGTAGTCATGAGTGTAGAAGGAAAAAGAGGTGGTCAGAAATAGAATTATTTAGGTTGGAGAAGACCCTCAAGGTCATTGAGTCCAACCCTTAACCCACCATTGCCAAGTCTGCCACTGAACCATGTCCTGAAGTGTCACATCTACACATCTTTTAAATACCTCCAGGAATGGTGACTCCACCATTTCCCTGGGCAGCCTGTTCTAATGCCTGACAACCCTTTCTGTGATGGAATTTTCCTATTATTCAATCTAAACCTCTTCTGGTGCAGCCTGGAGGCCATTTCCTTTTTTCCTATCAGATGTTAGAGATGTTAGAGATCAACCCCCTCCTTTCAGTGGGTTGTTGAGAGTGATAAAGTCCCCTCCTCTCTTCAGACTCAACACCCCTAGCTGTTCTTAGTAAGACTTGTGCTCCAGACTCCACTGTCCCTCTCTGTACACTCTCAAGCACCTCAATGTCTTTCTTGCAGTAAGGGGCCCAAATCTTTGCCATCTTCAAAAGCACATGTGGTCACCTGGA